ATATTCTGCACTGGCTTGAATCAACAAAATGTTTTACTAAAGACCAGTTTAGACCTCCATTTCGAGGTCACATCACTGGAACACCTTCCAGACAGCATAGATGCAAGCATTTCAGGTTTGGTTAGCCATTGCACACTGCCTGAACACATATATTATTGAGATTGCCGTACAGTTTACTTTGGATGTACCAGTTTCTTTTTTCCCTATGGTGGATGGACTTCTGCTAATAGCATGAAACTTTATCTTCTTTTACTGGGACTATGTGCTGGCTGGGACAGAGATAATTATCTTAGTAATAGCCCACATGGTGCTGATTTTTGAATTTGTGATTGAAACAATATTGATAGCACACCTGTGTTTTGGCTGACAATGTGCAAACACTGCTCAGCAGTAGGGCTTTCTTTTTTTCTCCGCTCCCCAGCCAGTAAGCTAGGGGTGTGCAAGAGGTTGGGAATCAGCGCACATGGGACAGCTGACCTGAGTTGACCAGAGGAATGTTTCATACCATATAACATCCCACTCAGCAATAAAAACTGTGGGGACGGAGGTTGGTCTTACACATAGCCATTGCTCGGAGGCTGGCTAGGCATTGGTCTGCTTATGGGAAGTGGGAATGAGTGAACAGCTGGATGGGTGCTTAGTTGTTGACTGGTGTCAACCCACCACAGACTATTAAAACTACTACTAAAAGAACAGTATCTTGCATCTTTCATTGCCAGCTGAGCATTTGCTCCTGAAGTGAGGACAGAGCATCAGACTGGCTTTGGAAAGAACATAAGTTTTGAAAGTAAGGAAGAATAATATATGGGAGTGTAGTCGAAACTGCAGAAAACTAGAATTGGTTTTACTGTAATAAAGGTGGTGTTTGAGAGAGGTGTGATTTGAATTTTTGGGAAAAAAAACAAACAACTGAGAAAATGGGAATACAGGGAACATCATATTATTTTGCATTCTTAGAAGGAACTCATAGAATCGTAGAATGGTTAGGGTTGGAAGGGACCTGAAAGATCATCTAGTTCCAACCCCCCTGCCATGGGCAGGGAAACCTCCACTACACCAGGTTGCCCAAAGCCTCATCCAACCTGGCCTTGAATACTTCCAGGGATGGGGCATCTACAACTTCTCTGGGCAACCTGTTCCACTGCCTCACCACCCTCAGAGTGAAAAATTTATTCCTTATATCTAATCTAAATCTCCCCTCTTTCAGTTTAAATCCATTGCCCCTTGTCCTATCACTACACGCCCTTGTAAAAAGTCCCTCTCCAGCTTTCCTGTAGAAAAAAACATTTGAGAAATATGATAATAAGCTATCCTCATAATGGTTGTTTTTAGCAACTCAAATAAGTTCATAGGTAATTCAATTATATTATTTCAGGTAAAAAAAAATTAGGCAACATAAAAATGAACAAGTGTTTTTTTTTTTGGCAGCTAGAATTATTTATTAGCTGGTTTATTTCCCATGAAGGACCTTCTGTTCTGTATAATTAAAGAAGTCATTATGATTCCAACTACCAGAACCAAGGAGATAGTCAGTTTACATAGGTACACAAGTACTAGATAGCATGCCTTCTTTCAGACTGGAGATTTCTACAGTGAAATATTAGTTGTGAAATTATAGTTGAAGGGGACAATCCAGGGAGCACTGTCCAAGGAAGACAGGGATGACATAGGATAGGAAATGCAGAATTCGGAAACGAAGTTACTAATTACTACCATATTTTCACGACTATGAGATGTATTTTGATTTTTCTGAATTTCTTTAAAATTACTGTTCTATAACAGACTGCTTTAGATAACCTTTTATTTTATCTATATTGCAGTTTGTTCCTGGGTACATGGTATACCTTAGTAGTACTTTTCACAGAATTATGGAATTGAGATTGAAAGGGAGTTTGAAGATTGTGTAGTCCAACTGCTCTGATGAAAGTGGGTTTGACTAGAGAACATTACTCAGAGCTGTGTCCAGTCTGCTTTAGAATATCTTCAAGGCTGGTGATCTTGTAGCATCTCTGGGCAACTTGTTCCACTGTTTCACCACCGTTACAGTATGTTAAAATGGAATTTTCTGTGTTTCAATTCATTCCCACTGCCTCTTGTCCTTTCACTGAGTACCACTGAGAAGAGTCTGGCTTCCTCTTCTTCAAACCCTCCTGTCAGGTATTTATAGGCACTGGAACAGGTTGCCCAGAGAAATTGTGGATGCCTCATCCCTGGAAGTGTTCAAGGCCAGGTTAGATGAGGCTTTGGGCAACCTGGTGTAGTGGAGGATTTCTCTGCCCATGGCAGGGGGCTTGGAACTAGATGATCTTTGAGGTCCCTTCCAACCCTAACCATTCTA